TGACACACTGTTCGACAACAAATTTCCTTCTGTTCCGATCGATTGCCCTGAGTCTGGCCTCCAATCGTCCAATCCAAACCTATTCCACTTGCAAGCCACACAACAGTCTACTGATTTACCGGATGATAGTGCTCATCTCGATGATTCCGCCCTCGGTCGCGATATGACCATGAAGCACCACTATCAGTGGTTACATTTCATGGCTAAGACATTTATGCTTAACTATCTGAGTGGAACAACAAATCACACGGATCCCGATCGCCGTTCGGTGGAAGATGTCCTCCCGGTGACCCGAAACGATGTGCCCAGAGAATAGCCAGTGTTGTGAGTGCATTTGTTCTATCATTTGTCGAATTCAATTTGATTCCGATTGTGTTCACGGCACACTTGTGAACTATGTGATTGTATCGATTTTCTTTCTAGAGTGGTTAGGAAGACTGGATTTAGTGGCGACTGATGAAAATATTTTCAATCCGTAGAGCTGAATTATTTTGGTGTTTGAAAATAAAGAAACCGTGAGAAGGGAAACAGATCCCGTGAGTGTTTCATATACGAACATAAAAGTAGTTTATTAATACTTGTAGATAATAATAGTAGCAGTAATGGTGTTAAAATTTCACAAGGTTGTGCCTGATTGAGGATAGTTGTTTATTGCGGATTACAGTTAGGATATCGATAATTTGGCGCGTACATAAAAATATGTCTCATTTTAAACATGTCTTCACAATTCCCCGCAGCATACTTGGTAATGAATAGAACAGTCCGTAGTTATTATTTAGAACACAGCAATTCGCTCAAAGTGGCGTTGTTTCTTTTTGACTGTTAAAAGAAACCGCCAATTGTATCTTTTCACGAACTACTAGCAAGTGTGGGTAGTATCTTACAACAATGGTAGTAGTAACAGTAGCAGCAGTACAGAAGATGTATAAACCAGTTGCTACGTTTCTTTCCAATCATAAGTTTCCGAAGCAAAGAAAACGACATGGGGCTATCGGAAAAGTGACAAGGAATAAACTGTAGAAACACGCCGACATATTGGTTCAACAGAGGCTTATCACAAATGACTATTTATGCGGCCGATCTCTGAAGCATTACTCAATCTTGTCAGACTATAACTTCGTCAGTTGGCGGGTTGATGCTGGGCCCCTAACCAGTCCTCCAAAGATACTTCAGTGATAGATAAAACTGAAGAACGGGAAGGTGAATTTGAATGGTCTGGATCGATCGTCGAGTAGTGTCGAGAGGGATAAAAACGATCAGGAATAGAGATTCTAGAATTGTGGAAGAGAGGAAGATAAAAATAGTGGATCTAAGGAAGGAGTGTCTGTGTTCTAGAATTGGGCGAAGAGTAAAAATATGGTTCATACTACCTCGACCAGATCTTAAACCAGCCTCATTCTCAAGCGTGCACTCTTCACGTGCGACAGACAATCGATGGAGTATGGTGCCAGCGAGAACTTTGAATAAACTAATTTCCGTGTCACCCTTCTTTCAAATGGGTAAGATGACCGATTCACACCACTCAATTGGAACGTGTTTCCTCTCCGATGTTGATCTTAGGATTCCCGTTAACTCAAGATGCACGCTGAACCTCTATCTCTAAAAGACAATGGGAACAGACTAACTGGGCCGGAGGCTTTCTGCCTTTTGAGATAAATTATTTCCCTTGAAACATCCAATTCAGATGAAGGACTAGCATCAACTAGGACTATTTGCCTCGTCGAGGCGCGGTGGGGGGGGGGGGCTGATAGATCTGATGTGACAGGAACCAGTTGAATTGAGCCTCGAAAGGTTTCACCCATCAATGGAGACCGCGTTGCTGATGACGAATCTGTGTGCCGTCGGATTCCCTAATTACCCCACTTACTCATTATTTCCTGAGACCCATATTCCTACTAAGACGGAAAAGAGTGCGAGTATTACCAACAGCCGTATGTTTATCCGTCTCTCTAAACTTCCCTACCCATCACTTCTCACAGTCATTCCTCACACTCTTGATGAGCTGGCCTTTAAGGGATTTGCGCTCTGTGTCATATGTGGTATCCGGAGGGCGGGTTTTGTGTGCTTCTAGTAGGGCAACTGTAATCGACGAGATCCATCATTTGTGTTTTGAGCTTACACTGGAGTCCGCCGTTGTTTTTATCGATATTTGCATGGTTTCCGTGATTAGCTTCCAGTATTCATTGAGTCCTTCTGCTGGTGATTGAATTGATAGGCAATCGAAAAGCTTTGTTTCGAAGGCCGACTTGCAACTCTCCCTGGCATTGTGTCATGGGTATTCATTGCCCATGGCTTTATGGCGGTTGTTTTAAGCAGGGTCCTTGTTTGGGTTCGAATCCCACCGCTCTTTGACGAGGCCAATTATGCTGTGCACAATTGAGGCGTTAGCATTTCCGTTTATCCATACCCTAAGGTTATGGCCAGATAGGTATGACGTAATCAATCGTCATTTTGAAAATCAAACGAAGACTGAACAATCGTGTCTCGTTATTCCTTTATTCAGGTGCCTGAAACACTGCACCGCCTCCCACCCACGATATTCTATAGCCATTGTTTGCGCGGCTTGGTTCAGGCAAATACTACATGTTGCGAACAAAAGATTTCTTGTGCATCTTAATAATAAGAGTAACCTTCTTCGTCTAGTAAAAGTAAAACAAATGCATTGTTTATTTTTATTCAGAAATGTTAGTGATATTTCATTTATTCGACACTTCATCTGTTCTTTGATCGATTTCTATGCATCAAAAGTTATCATAGAACACTGAAAGCGAAAGATTACCGAAGTCCAAAAGTGCTGCACTGCCTTTCTTTGCACTGGCTTGCGTTTATGATTAGGATATTCTTCAAGTAACAATAAAAGAACTGGAAACTCTCATGCACTTCAATATATGTGATTATTTTATTTTTACGCTTATTTTTTTCTGTCGTCATATTTTTCAGCCCTTGAAGGTCATAGTTCTGAATACCCACAAGTATTTACTGATTATGATGAGGTGTCGACTCAAAGTTTATGTAATTAAAGGCCGTTATTATGAAGTTACTTTTTCTAAATTACTTCAGGCAATATGTCGAAAGCGAACTTCTCATGTACCTTTTACGAACATCTGCCCGACTTCTGTTTGGATTGCCGCTTGATGGTTCAAAAATTGCGAGCCAATCAGTACAGCGAAAAATTACCACTGATCCCGTGCAAATAGCTAGAGTACATACCCTCCTAAACATGGGATTTCGAATCTGTATTGGACCATACACTGAGGACAGTGGGGTTGCCGGATCGAGTTCCGCTCGTTCTGGTAATCGAAGTGGCTCTACCACGACAGAAACTGGTGTTGCACTTCTATGTTCTGCATTCCTACGAGATCAACTGACTAACCTGGTTTTGGAATCCAAAGCGGAAAATCCTAATTTCGATGTTACTTTGGTAAGACTTGCCCATATTAGACACTTTTTGAGTACATGATAAGCTTCCTTGCTTTCAAAACAATTTTCACCTACTGAAATACAGATGTTTAAATAAAATAGCATCTTAAGAAAATTGAATCGAACACTATGAAGTCAGTTGGATATATGTTTCATTGAATCTACAATAACAGGATTCAGTACCGTTTCACATCAGTGTAGTGTGAATGTTGTGAATACATAAAATGACTGAAATGTGATCTGATTCAAGGCTCACCTTTTGACGTAAAATTAGTGAAATGCAATTCAATTAATAACATTACTTCTAAGGCTAGATTGGACTTTTCATCCTTGATCCTGTATATCGCACTATCTGCTCAACATCCTCAAACGTAATTTCAATCTTCTTTTTTCAACGAATTCTAAATTTTTCCTTTGCCTTTACGCGAACGTTTTAACTGAGTTTCCTTAATGCTTTGTTTTATTGATTTCTATTTGTCATACAGATTTCTGTTTACTTTTAAATTTGAGTGTAAATTAAGCTGAACGACAAAATTTAAAATGGCATGTTCAAATGACAGAAATGTTAGATAAGACGGTGACTTCAATTCGTCTTCACGATAAAAAAATTATTAAATCTTTTTTACTTCCTCTTTTATTTGATGAATGTACAAAGGTACAGTCATCATTCAGGAAGGGGAGTGGCTATAAAAAGGCTGCCTGAAAAATACAGAATTAGGGAAAACGTGCGGCGGTGGAGCGATTCGAAATCGGAGCTCTCAAGTCACAAGTCGGTGACCTGATCACTTGGCCACCACAGCCCTGACTTAACACAGTCACCTTTCGAACTGTTTCCTTGTGATTTGGATTGAAAGAGAGGAACACAAAATGAGTCTGTTTTTTTAATCTATAAACAGTGGTATCCCAGTGTGTTTATGCATGTTGATAATTGATGGATCTCTCCGTTTTTCTCTGAAACCGATTTAAGTTAGAAACACTACCGGCATGATATATATGATGTATTCCGAAGGTTGGTAAATACAATGGACTCCGCACGAGAATAATAGTGATGTATACCCGATGACTTTATCTACCAGGTAGTACACCTAGAGCAACCGAGTTGAACAAAATCGACTGATTTCGACTATTTTCCCGAGTAGTTTTTCTGTGTCACCAGTATTTTACCTCGATGCGCGAAATTGGATACGCGAAACAAATCAACCGGCACTTGTTTTATGAATTACGACAACAAAATCGCCAGACAACGTGAACGTAATCAATTTTTGTGCGTAATTTGAGCGGGCAGTGCTACTTTGCTGGATGAAAATGAGTACAACTCACTGTGGATGTTTCAGTTACTCGAGTAACGTATAAACTCTGCCATAAATGGTTCACAGTATGTTTCTTAGTAATGCTTTCCTGTGTGTGCGATGCCCAAGTTTAATACAAATTTGAACACGCATCAATTAAATTCGTTAGTAACCGTATTATTAATAAAATTATTATATGAATGCTTAAGTATACTGTCGTCAAAATGACTGTTGTACAAGCTTTGCATGTCCGTTAAATTTTAGTGGTTACAAAGTCAGTAATCATTTGTTTAGAAACCATTGAATCTGATTGCCGAGTTGAATTTTAAAATTTCATTGGTAAACCGATAGAAGAGGTCTGGTACGTTTAACACGGATGCTCAAGCATTGTCGCATTTTATTACTGTTTGATGTTATGCCGGCAAAATAAATGCAACAACCCATGAGAAACGGATTATATATATAGATATATATATAAATTTTGCTAAAAACTGAACTTTAATTTTACCGTGGATTGCATGGGAAGAATGGTCTTTTAATGTCTAAGATTGCTTCGGAGCATGAGGTACCGTAAGGAATGTTGCGCCTACTAACACCAAAGCTATTCATAACACCGTTGTTCATAACAGAGCATCTAATGATCGTTAATGGTTTTAGGAGAAAAAGTTGATTTTCTGTTTCCCATGATCCGGATAACTGCAAAGAAAAATGAAACAATTAAAAACTGGGACCGGAAATCATAAATCTTCCTAATAAGTCGCCTGGATCCAGCGTTACATATAAGCTAACTATAGTAGAATAATCTCAAGAGCTTATCATAATTTCACTAAACACGCACTGATTCAACTCACAAATGCATAAAAATGATATAAAATACTTTTTTTTAAATTTTTTTTCAGCATCCTGATTCATTTGGTTTAAATATAATAGCTTAAAGAAGACAAAGATCAATCGATTGTCTATGCACTTTATGTGTTCGAATACAGAAGCATAATCATGATAGCTAGACAGTGCTGGATGGAGGGAGAAGAAAAACGCTTTGATTAATGGCAACCTCCTTGGTATAGAACTTACTTGTCTAATGTTAGCAGATCAACGCGTTTTTATTGTGCACTACTTTTCGAGTGTTACTCAACACCGTGGGAATCTCAATCAATCACTGGAGAATCTTGGTTAATCTCTCATTCTTTGCTCGCTCGTTATGATTGCATAATCAGCCCAGATGAGAGCAAAAACAGAAACGAAACAATGGTAGGAAAAACACGGAATGTAATTTCTATAGGTAGACTGTTTCATGTCATGATTTTGTTCTGAAAGTTTCCAGAACTCTATCGCGGAACACGTGCAAATCCAAATCGTTAATTTTCACTTGATCAATCGTAACAGGTGTATTAATTTACCGCATGATTCTGCGACAGTTGATTTTCTGTTTTTCTCATGTCAAACTTACGACTGTCTTCCTGATTTCGGCTTTGACGATGTGAAATAGGTACATGATCTTGTTCAATGGTGTCTGCGTTCCCAATCACCAGAGCTGCAGTCCGGTGCCTGTGCGCTTTTGAATCGACTTGTACTTTGTGGTGTGGTTGAAGGCACAAGGTCCAAGCAAAATCCTGAGGATAATTCCCAAGGGAATAATCGTGCAATAGATCTCAAATTCGCTTCCTCAAGGGAATTGGTTTGGATGCTACTCAATGATACTTCACAATGTAAGTGATTTTTCTGTTTAAACTCAGTTTTATATTGCACAATTTTCGAAATGCATTCCGTAATGACGAATGAACGAATTCATTAAAAATTCTTCGTAACATCTGATGAAAATTAGCAGTATTTTGGACGTGATTCCTTTCCCAATGTATTTGCTTATTATTTACACATCAAATAGCCTTGTTATTCATCATAAAATAGTAATATTATCTATATGAGTATCATATAGCTGCTACTCAACCGCCTTCTTCAAGTTTGCATGCCTTTATCCTGACAACAAATGGTTGAACTCCTTGCCTTTTCAGCAAAATCAACCTCAAACCCTGATCAAACATTGTACAATTTTTTGAAGTCCACCAACTGTATGGTTCGTACTCATGCATTCCATTTGGTCGCTAGTCTCATCATATGCAGCCCTAGTGACGAGCTTAGTCCTGGTTCGAATGGATCTCCAAGCAGTCCAAGCCCGCTCACCATACTGAGACAGAACCTTGCCACAGCTGGCTCTACCGGTTATTTGTTGGAACAACAAGTCTGTCGCCCACCCATGCCAAAAACTAACACTGACCCAGTTATATGCCAGTCACTGGCAACCTCTGAGTCCATTTGGACGGAACATTTCAAACGGGCTGTTTCACTTGCAATAGAGGCAATGAAACACTCAGATTCCCAAATACGTCAAGCTGCATTATTGGTGGTCGGTAATGCACTTTATCGATTTTCTCGGGCGTTTGAACTTATTGAAAAGCATCTTGAAACACTGGTCAGTATTCTTGCGGAAGACAACTCTGCACGAATACGTAGTGGAGCAGCAGGTGAGTGATGTATTAAGCGTCTTATGGTCATTGTCATTGTGTAGTTGGATAATTGTTTCAAATCTCCATTCGTGACATTAATATTTTCACACCAATCACTCTATATTATTAGTGGATGATTTCAAAGTTTTTCATTGGTATCGCTTATTTACCCTGATACTGCTCTACACATATTAGCGCAATACATATTCGACAAGAAAGCTTCTTAATAAATGCTTCCATCTTTTTACAGATACGTTGGCAAATATATCACTGCATGCAGATAAGTTCACCGATGCTGACAAATGTAGAAAAATCTTGAAGGGGTGAGCTAGATTATTGAACAGTTATCATCAACAACTATTCTTTTTTATTCCATGCTGTTTTTCCGTTGCTTGAAAAGGTAACTATCCGCCTAAACCTTGACGCTGGTTTCACTGACTGCATTTAATTCTGTCTGGATGGCATAAACACCGATTTATGCAGAAAGCAAAAGTAGAAATCTCCAAATTGTGAGACTTTTACATTGTGCACAGACCACTAACTCTTTTAAAATAGTTTTATTTTCTACCTATTCCATCAGGAAAAACGAAAGCAAATTTTACTAAAAACAGAAATTCATCCAAAATTTTTTCTCGGAGGAGAACTCTGTTTTGAAAACATTGAACTGTTTTCTCGCTCAGCCTTTATGATTGATATATGTACTTTTTGTATTTATGTCATATAATCTTTTCTATGATTACAGTTCACATTTTTAGTTATAATTCTATACTATTCGTATTGCACATATGTTATAATGTGTTTTCCAATTGGGGAAATTACTTCTGTATTGAATTAGATGCATAATGAACAGCAGGTTTATGTGTTGCTTTTTATTAACAGATATCCCCCTAGTTAAGTTTTCATCCGTTGACACAGTGATTGCAGAGCAAACCGATCGAACATACGAGGAAACGAGTCTCAGCACCGTTATTGTTGAACGATGACAGTCTAAACACTGATAGAGTCCATTTTTCATCAAAATACGAATCCCATTAGCTAAATAACAGTTTGCTGTCTCCTCTTTCACTGCTCCTCAGGCCGAATTTGCGAATATTTTTATCAATATAGCACACCATTTTTATTATTTTATTTTGCTAGACACCTAGCGAATCAACACTCATTGTTGTTGTATTGTCTAGGCTAACCGTTTGTGTTTTATATTGGTTGTACGCTGCACTAGAATAGACTCTCAGTGTGAAACAGATGCCGCTCGAGTGCATGGTGAAATCTGAAATCCCCGCGTTTACACTCGAAAAATAGTTTGGTCTGCATAAAGCGAGCGTTTGTGTTTCATGGCATTTGGATAGAATACGACCTGGCACTAGAGCCAAATCAGTGTTTGCAAGAACTGTTTTATTTGGTGCTTTTAGTATACAATCAATTGCAAGAAATTTAGAAGCAGTGTGTGAAAAATCACTTGAAAATAAAATAAAATTCCCTTCCCTACAAGAGTTATCTCTGACATTTTTGTTTGCGTGCCTACATGTAGACCTATATACTTTATTCCATATATTATTTCTGTCAGAATGTTTCCATATTTCAACCAACTCTACTCATTTCATTAAAATTCATCAGAAAAATGTTTCAAATGCTTGACTCCGGTTTTCAGACTGCTAGAAGCCGGATGCACGGATGGAGATCGCAGGGTGCAAGAGGCTTCATTGCTTGCACTACGCCTGCATTTGGTCGCTTGCCCATTGTCTAAAAAGGTGAGTAGTTCCGGTCTGATCCGAGTCCGGTTTTTGAGAAAACATCCGTTGCATTTAGAAAAGGATAATCTACTCATGATCAGCGAACCTTCAAAACGTTTGAAGTATTTCAAAATCTGCAATACTCTGTTCAGAAAATTTCAAGATATGAATATCTATGCACACTCACATATCTATTCTCATATTTTGATTAAATCATTATGATTTCACACGGTTTACCACTCGCCAGTGCTTTTCCTCCTAGGTGCGCATTAGCTCCCACCACGTGCCGGCATCTAACGGTAAAGTTGATTTATATATAATTCTAAAGGAGAAGCACTTGAATGCAATGTTCGCGTAAGATAAAAATAGCTCTGTTACCTATTTCCGAGGGAATTTGCATGGGCGCATCTATTTATTACCCAAATCACATGTTAAAAAATTGTTTCATAAAAAACAACCAGAACATGCATGGAAATATTAGTGTGCCTAGTGATCGATCATATGGAAGAGACTATTTTTAATTGTCAACGGGTATAAAATAATTTATGTGCTGAAAACAAAGAGCAAAACGCTCGTAAACTGTAGTTTATCCGGAATATGTTTAAACGATTTCCCTTACCAAAATGCGCGCAAATCGAAACAAAAGAAAAGGTCGCTGTTGATGCATACTTTTTCCTACGCAGCAATACAATACCGGTTATCATCGCCCAAAAAATGCACACAACCATTGAAAAAACTATCTTTCATCAGAAAAGTTCTGTCTCAAATTGATTATTCCGAAATTTTTGTCGTAAATCACCGCCTTCAACATTTTATCTGACGTTACTGTTTAACGCAACACAGTTTCATCTCCCACATGTGTTATTTAGAAATGGTCCTCCACTGACACAAAGGGTATGTGCTGGATCACTGAACATAAATACGTCAACGGCTAATGATAACTAAATTGAACACACTGTACATCGCTTGAATTACAGTACAACAAGGATAAGAGTACCAAAAACGACTAACTAACCGCCCAAAGTTGAACAAGGAAACCACCCAAGGCACAGGGCAACCATAAATACAAAGGATTACCATCGACTCTTTCATCTAAAATATATTGCGAACAATTTGATGGAACTTTGTGGTATGCATGACTTATTGTGATGAAAATTTAAAAATTAGTTTGTTTTATAGCCGTGCTGAGCTTTGACCTACTTTTTAAACAAGTTTCGTCCTCTAATTAATAGCTTTTTTGTTACGGTACAGTCTTTCAAGAAAGAACCTGTATATAGTACATTTCGAGTTAGATTTACCATGTATAAGTTCCAAGCCATGGAACGACTGGTGTCAAAGTTTGGTAGTTGATTGATCATATAAATGTGCAATAAACTTTCAGGATGTGATCGCGGCTATACAAAGGCGGCCTTAGGAAATACAGATGATGGGAAGATCGAACACGGTTGCGGGATTCGAAAGCAAGACCCTGTGGTAGTTATTCCGACGACTTTGCCAATATACCTTTTGTAATTTAATTTGTCCCAATAACAATTCAAGATTTTCGAGTATCATTTCAGGATGTCTGAGCATCATTTCAAGCTGTCTCGTTGATCTCACCGGTGCTGACAAGTCTCCCAGAGATGTCTGGATGATGACCATGCAGCGCCGATTTCTCCACCTCCCTTTGAAGTGCAGGGACGATTGTGAGACGGACTTCAGTCACACAGGCCTCAATTCCCATGATAAACATATCGATTGTTTATCTCGCTAGTACGCATACTCCTCTGTGTGTGTGTTTGTCCCCTTCCGCTGATATCAGTGAATCATGCGCGATCAACGCTTGAGCCATTACTTACCTCCACCGCATGGTGCTGCAACAGAATTCATAAGCTACACCTCAAGCGGCTGCATTGGAACACCAATCGACCATGCTCGATCGATATACGCATCAGTGTTGACCAGATTCGCATCCAGTTTGCTTGACGCTTTCAGGTTATGATCCATCTCTGTAACACCACTATGAGGTCAACTATACAACTTGAAATGATGTTCAGACATCCTGAAATGATATTCGGACAACTTGAAATGACATTCGGAGTACTCGAATTGTAAAAGGTATAAACCATCAATACATTAGTACTTCGAGAAAAGGGTCAATATGTATGTGTCAGCTTCCAGTGGCTTCAAAGACAACGTTTCTCTTATGGAGATCGGAACTCGCCCTATACGTCGACCATGGTGTGTAGTGTGGATTTTCATGGATAGTGTGAAAATCATTAGAATAATAAGGCTATGCAACATGAATTTAATCCATGCATGGTCCAGTACCCATGTAAGGGTTATGTAATCATAACTCCGGGGGTTCGCGTTTTGAATCCCCGATTGGGACCAGAAATAGTCGGCAGGGTTGACGAGTCTCAACAAGAACAGGAACATTGACTCAATGCTCTGCATTGGCTATTCCACACAACGTTAACCCTAGATATACACTGCAGTAGAATTAAATACGACTTCAATCAAGAGTACGCATCATGGATATTACCTTATAAGCGACTAGCCTAAAGACAACCATATTATAGCTCATCTACTCATAAAATGTGTGATATGACTAAATGGGAAGATACTTATCTGGCGTGGTTACACCAAGTATATAGTGGACTAGTATTTTGTGTGTTGTATTAATCGTGACTGATTAGAGTGATTCATTTTAGTTAACCTGGGGATGACAATGTTACCGTTTGATGGATAAATGCTCAATTACTGCTGACTGTTAACTTTTGCTTCATCGTCATCCGTGAATCATTTGTAAAGCAATGAGGGAAACAATTCCATAAAAATTATGTCAGAGGCTCTTAATTCTCACTGAACTGTCCGAGGAGAGCAATCAGGTTTTACCGAACATTTTGTTACGCAAACAAGCTTCTTATCTTTGACACCGGAGAAACAAACGGTATGTGTAGTTGTAGTAGAGTAATCCATTTCTCTTAAACTAAATCAGAGGTACAATGAAGATATAAGTACCATTCCGCGTTGCTTGATTGCATATATGCTGTCGCCCGCTAGTTGAATTTAGGAAATGGTGGTGTCCAGTCTGATCAGCTAACAGAGCAGATGCGTCATTGTAAGTGCGTGAAGATGAATTTATTTCCTTGAGCCAATAAATCAAGTGTTTTCTATACTCATCTTATTCAACATTTGAAATGAGTTCATGTTACTGTTTTGTTTTTCACAACCAAATTCAACGTCACCTATCAATTTTTCAATTGATCGCATCTGTTCAACACTCAGATACTCAACTCTCTTGGAGCAATGGACAAGTTGATGCAGTTACAAACCTCGCTGAAAAGAGCAAGTGCATCCCGCTCCGGTCGCCTACTTCCCGGCAAATTCCGACAAACGACGAAACAAAGTCCCCTTCTGGACAATGCCTTATTGATAGAGTACACTGCAGCTATTTGTGATATGCTTTGAGAGACGCTTTTTCTTTGAAAATTCATGTACAGAATAACACACCTCACCGAACGCATCATGACGGGTTTACCCCTCCCTTCCCAATTCTCTTCCCCTCAGCACTACATTTGCTTTTTGATCTATCGGTCCGTTCATAAGCCAAGTGTTTGTGACTGACTCATGTACATTGTTATCATGCATATGCTTTTGCTGTGCGCCTTTTTTCTTCAAAATATAAATGAGAATAATCCACTATCACTGTGTCATACTTATCAAGATAATACTGGACTGACCGAATTCTCATTGTTTGCGAAGTGGGAACTGGAAAGGAACGAAATCTTCAGGGACGGTTATTTTGATGCAGTTGTAGTCAATGTAAGGTATTGAATTGTTGCGCGGCTGGTTATGATTCATCTTTGGGAACGGAAACTACCAAAGTGTCTGAGCATATATCCTATCTTATTTAGCTACGTGTGAATAAAACAGAGCCAGCCTTACACACAATGCCCTGTAAAGTACATCTGTATATGCACAATGTAAGCGTACTGAAAGGATTTCAAACATTGATAACTTACCTCGACATTTCTTATTGAAAACCCCGGGGTTTCACAAAGGGCCTACACAGTATTAAAACCTGCTGTAGAGGATTTATATCAATCAAAGTTTTATTCAGTGATGCGTGAATAAACTGAATCAAAGTATTTCATTTATGAGCGCGAATCAACTTAGCGCTAAAATCAGTAACGTGGCAGAAAAACTTAATTGACTTTGTGAAACCATAGCTAATCTGAAAACTGATTTTTCACACGGTAAGAAACGAATTATAACCCCCGGAATTCAAACAAAACTTCATTCCAAACGAAGCTCTTTTAAATTGCATACGTTCCAGATACTATCCCCTGAGAAGTAATTTGCTGTTTTGCGCGGAGAAAACATTTCTACTTTAAATTATTTAGCTCTGTTTATTTATCAAAACTATTATA